GTAATTTATCCAACTTCTTTATGAGAGAATCCAATCAGCACATACTTTGGGGGCTTGGAGTTCACAAGAATCCTGGTCATCAGATTCAGAGGACATTTGAGACATGTTGTATTTGTGTAACGAAAGTTTAGAAGATACAGATGCATTTGGGCTGTACCATTAAAGCACTCTCAAAAGAGAGGCAGCCACAAAAGCTTCAGTTTACTTACAAATACAAGCCGTTAGCACATTCCACTAGAATTTATATCTACCAGAGACAACTTGTTTGTTCTGTCAGTCAGTCCAACAGCTGAGCACAAGCCAGAATCAAACTTACAGCAACTTTCAAAAACACCTACTACACCTATCTCAATTCTCAACCTCATTTCTTACACATCTATGACGACAATCAACACCGAAAATGTAAAATCAAGCATGCTCACACTGCCAGGGAAAAATTATACTAATATTTACTATGTTACTGTAATACTAGATAATTACTATGCTGTAACGGTGGGTCTGCTAGGTCTTTTTCCTTCCATGGCGTCTTTCTTCTTCCGACAGTTTGTGCAGAGGAATGGGCCTTCCCATGGATTTGACGCTGGGGAGAAAAAAGGCCCAGAGTTCACTGATAAACCATCACCAGGGGGTTGATCCACTTGGCAAACCGCACAGCGGAAAATACCAGAATTCTTATTAAGCGGAAAATCCTTACCTAGCCTGCATTTTAAGAAAATATAGAATTTAAGAACTGTCCATGCATATACACCCAAATGCAAAAGAAATCATTTCATTCCAGTCACTTGACAGATAAGTTGCTATTAGCCTATTACACTTCAAGACATAGCAATATAGCATGCAAGCCGGTAAACTGATAAAGGCTTCAAAATTTAAATGACAGAACCAGAACATACCTTTCTGTAAGCATTGCAGAACCCTCTTCAAACAACTCCTCCACAACACCAACTGCAGAAAGCTTATTGGTAGCTTTGTTCACTGAGTTTTCAGATTTCTTTCCAAAAAATAGAAGCGAAGTTAGCATATTATATTTCTTTCTCGGAATTGATGGTAATACAGGTAGGTCCGAAGGAATAATATCTACAACAAGGCAAGTTGTATCATCCTTGAGGCCCCTTGACCTTAGAGCCTCCTGGGAAAAAAGAACAAAGCGAATTTACTAAATATTGGACATCCATTCTAGTATGGGAAGAATGTTAGAACTAATCATCACCTTAACCACTAGTTTTGCAGCAAGCTCTGCAGGTAGACCCCGACATGACTTGGCAGCCATATCAGATGATAAAGCATCCCAAATACCATCAGAGGCTATAATAAGTCTTCCACCAGCATTTGAAAGCTGAGAAATCAATAGAAAGATGTTAATGAGCAGTGAAACTTAGAACTAAAAGTTTCCACATAAACAGGTCACCAAACAAAGATCATAATAATGAAACCAAGTCACCTTCACTTGCTTAACATGTGGTATTGGCACAATAAATTCTCCCACGTCAGTGTCACCTATTGATCTAGATAGGCACAACCCACCAGGCCAGCAGCGAAGAGGCCCAACCTATAAACGTATTGCAAACCCAAACTACTAGTAAGTTTAAGCAATCTCTAACAGAAAGCACAAGGGTGATTGCACCATACCTCATTGCCTCCAAATACATTGAGTCTTCCTACTTCACCACCACTGGCAGTAACACGCTCCCTCTCTTCTGCATTCTCTTCCAGTCGATGATCAACTGTCAACAGAGAAACTACACCTCCCTGAGTATCTAATATGCAGCGGGAATCCCCAACAGATGCAACAGTGATAGTCCATCCATCAACCAAAACAAATGTAGCTGTTGTTCCGGAAGTTTCCCCTGAAGATGATTTTTTTTTATCAGCTTAAACATGCACAGAAGATCCATGAAGCAAAAAAAGAATATATTTGTATGTACCTTTTTGCTGAAACTCTATGTCAGTCTTCACAAAACCAACAACCAGGGCCCGAGGAAGGGCCTGAAGCCATGCATCCCTGTTAATATCTTGTGGTATTGCACTCAAAACATTACTTAGCAAATTTTCCTTCGCAAAAATAGCAGCTGATATACCATTATGCCCATCAAAGATCTGCCAATCAAGATTTCCTTATGAGTACCATAACCATTGAGAGAATAAATTAACAGGGAAGCAAACAATACTGCGAGACAAGGTGCCAATGGCATGCTGAAGTTGTCAGCAAAGCCCACCTAAAAGATTACAGAACAGGCTTAAACTGCAAACAGTTTTACGCAGTCTCAACTACTCAACCAGCTCTTGGGTGCCAGGGGGTCTCCCCAAGGAGAGTTTCCCATTATGTGAGATTTTAGTGGCCTAAGAAGGAATCAAACCCGCATCCATAGGAAGATGAGAGTTAACCTTGAATCCTTGACCACTTGTGTCAACTCAAATTAACACTCCATTTGATCACTAAGAATAAGAAATGTAAAGAAGAGAAAAATAATTCGCATCAATTTTCATTTGAAAACCTACTAACCCCGAGTAACCACAATGCAGAACAAACTACCAACTCAGTCTTAGCTTTGGACCATATTCTCATTTGCTAATATTCAAAAATTTCTTTCACCAGACATTTCCCCAAAGTCTAAAACGATGTTAGTCAACTAGAGTAAATATAGGCGTAAAGCAAGAGGACAAATAATACCGCGAAGACAGAAAAAGCCGTGGATGCATCCCCAGGAACCCTGAGGCAATCTGTCTTGATCAGAAAGTAATCTTCTCCTTTCTTGGCCAATCCAGCCTGTCCATACTTCACGAAAGGTTTTTCAACTTTTCCATTTCGAAGCTCGCGGCCAATCAGAGTCGCCAATGGAACCGGCGCTGGCTGCGTCCTCGATAATTCAATCCTACTCATCCTACCTAAGTTCAGAATTCAACATTTCCGGAACCTCAGTGAAGAAAATATACCTAATCATCAAAACGAATTCGAAGAAAAATTAATAGAAATCCAAAAGACTCGCTGTAATCTATTAGATCTACCCGTGACATATCCATCCACGCGATTAGTCTATTTTCAAGATAAGATCTACGTAAGAAGCAATAAATCTAAGCAAAATAACGTGCATTACCACGAAACAAAACCAAAGCCTAAGATTCACAAGAAAACAGTAAAACCAGAGCTACTTTAATCCGAGGAAGTGAAATATCCAAATCAGATAAAATCACCACGAGAAGAATTAGTCACGAGACAATGTCTCAACTAATTTGCGATTACGATAATGCAGGTCAAAGAGAAAGTAGGAATTATTAAAACAAAATTGAGTAATTCGGTCAAATTTAGGTAAACATTAATATGGTTTTAAGTTAGGAAAAGCGGAAAAAACAGGTTCACATAAAACATTGAATCAATTTAACCGAGAAATGGAAATGAATGAATGATAACGAAACTTTAGGAAAAGCTAAAGCGAGAGGTGAAAATACAGTAGATCGAGGAGCGAGAATGAAGTACATTGCGCATCGGCAAAAGCAGGCGCACTATCGGTGAGACTGTGGAATCGGCATTTTTGGAAGAAGAGAGGTTGAGATCGAATGGCGATAAACCCTAGAGAGGAGAAGAGACAGTGAGACTGAGAGTGGCAGTGACGGAGAATAAGAGAGCGTTGCTCCGTGACTCTGATTTGATTGGTAGAGACTAGAGACTAGAGAGAGAACGCGCAAAAACTTTGGTTTTGGGTATACGAAGGAAATCCTCACAATAACTTTTTTGTCCTAAATTCTAACACACGGAAAGAAAATAAAAAATAGAGTAATCACCTATATATTATCTATGAAAAAAAAATTTATATCGATAATCAATTATATTTTCTAATTATATCATGTTATTGTAAATATATTTATTTTTAACAGTATAATTAAAAGGTATAATTAATTATCAGTATAAATTTTTTTTATACGGACAGTGTATAAATGATTAACTCATAAAAAAAATTAATAAGATTAAATATGAATTTTCATTTTTTATTTTTGGTCTTTGAATAATTTTTGTCAATTCTTATTTTTAGTTTTTTATTTTTTTTCATTAATATTTTTATTCTTTCCTGGTGTCAAAATTATTTTGTTTATGAAAAAATTTAAAAGACAAGTTAAATTAAGTTTGTTTGAGGACTAAAAATAAAATTAACAAAATTTTAAGTACTAAAACATATTTAATATTTTTATAAATTTAATTTTATTATTAGTATTTTTCTGTAAATCTCAGTATGGTAATTTGCTAAAAATAGTAAAAAGAAAAATAGTAATTAATATTATATTAAAAATTAAAATAACACTTGTTTTTGTAAAATATGTTTTTTCTTAAACATTAATCTAAATATTAGCTGTAATTAGAACAAATGCTTCTAGATTTATTTTATGCATTAATTTTCTTTTTACAAAAATATCGGGTGAGTTAAATTATGAAAATTTATCAAGGTTAAAATATGTCTAAAGATTTAAAGAGAATAATGTGAATAAAGCTCATATCTTTATAAAATATAAATATTATTTTATTTATAAAAATTACAATGATAAGTGCATATTATTCTAACTCTCTATTATTAAACTGACTTATTCTTATAAAATATAAGTACGATTCTTATCATTGAATGATATTTATTTATTATAAAATATGAGTATGATTCTTATTTTTTTTAATTGAAGTAACATTTTTTTGTTAGTTAATCATATTATAATGTTATAAGCATCATGTTCAATAATAATGGTGTTTAATAACGGTGGAGATGACTTCCCATATTCAAAACTTTTTTTTATAAAATTTGTTTGTAAGGAAGTCAATTAAGTCATTCATATTTTATCAAAAATGTCTAGTTTTTTAGTTAAACATTGTCTCACGCATACTGTTATATGCACTTTGGAACAAACTGTAAGAAATATTGCAGAGAGCAGCCGATTAAATAACGAACTCAAGCAATTGATGTATATGCCCCAATAGAAAAACTTTTTTTTTGTTAAATTCCTCCACAAAATTATAGATACAAAAGGGGACAAAAGAAAAGTTATTACTTAATCCTCCAGATATACACTTACATCAAACTTAGTGAAATAAAGAGTAACGACATTAAACTGGTTTCTCTGTCATACTCGACGACAATAACTTAAATCAATTTAGTGTCTTTCTTATTCTCTAAAAGATAAATTTGATGTCATAAATATTTAAAGAAACAAATCAATGCCAAGTACACCTTGAATGCTGATCTAGCCGATAAATATGTTAAATGTTGTGAAGCAAGAAAATGAAGAAAACCTTGGAAGAGCTCTCACTTGGTAATCCTTCTCCTTATATCATTAGAGCCTGGAGGCTTTCTTGCTTGAGTAATTGGGGTGGGTTTTTTTGGTGTTGGCACAGGAATAAATGATGGGATCATACTCCTATTTGCATAAAAGGTTGAAGGAAAGAAAAAATAAAGATAGTTACTATATTTGAGAAGCCTAATTATATGCAACAAAAGTAAGTAACATAAACTAATTAAAAAGGTCGTTTACCTGACTTCTGGCGGGTTCTTTAGTGATGGTCTTATATTTGATGATTTCTTTGCTCTAATGCCTAATCCGCTTGAACCGATGATTGGTTTAGGTATATGTGATGGCCAATGCAAGTCCAGTTCTGAAGATTCACTAGTTTCAGTCTCGTTCCCATCCAATTCCTCTGTGGTGGCCGTATCAAGCCCTTGCTTAGGTAAATCTTCATCGTCTTTGTTATCCTTTTTATGCAAAGGTTGTTGGTCCATGCATATTTTAGAAGGCTCTGTGAGATAAGTGGGACTTAACATTGGAGAAGATTGTTTGCTTTCTGCTTCCCATGGCCCCATGAGACCATCTTCACTAGTCATGCTGTCATTCCTGTTCATGAAAATCTTATCAACCGAATCCCCAGAAATTGATTCTTTGTCATCTTCCTTTCCAAGACCTCTACTAACATTTGGCCACGGAGATGAATCCCTGCGCATGTCATGGAGATCTAGGCTTCGTCTCTTCAAGGTTGATGCGGTGTTTTTCAGACCCTTCAAAATATTATATGGATCTCAATCATATAATTTCATTCCTCCTATATCATGCTTTGAGGTGATTCTTTTTTATTAATTGAAATTACAATTATATATAGCAATAAAGTTTAAATCTATAACTATGTACATACTATTTTAATCACAAGTTTCATCTTAGTAATTTTGCTTTCGGGTGTCTATTGTGTAGTACTAAATCATATTATTGTTATTATAAAATAAATAATATATAACATACAACATAAATAATTTTTAGACTATTAATCGATCATAATATGATAAGTTTATTAATTTTTATAATAATTATCTTAAAAATCATATTTAGATTAACAACTAGTACATACCTATTAGATTTTTATTGATAATTATTTCTAAATTACTAAATTAATTTGATAATGTTAAGGTAAATGGTAAATACTACAATAAATAAATATATATATATATATATATATATATTGTAGTCTCTTTTAACTAATTTCTACCTCCGAGAATGTGAGTTACTTTAATTAGTAGTATTCAATTTGTTAATAGTATATGATTGGTTGTCAGTATAAAAAATTTTACATCAATAGTATATGGATGATTAACTCTTTATTAAATTAAAAGAATATATTTTAATATAAAAATAGTTAATATATCAATCACTTTGAATTAGAACAAATAATTGTTTTAACTTATGTCTTATAAATAAGATCGTGACTTGGTATAAAGATATGAACATGTTGCTTACCTCCGGGCTACTGGAATCATCTTTTGGCAACTTACGAGGTCCAGATGTCCAACTACGTTGTATAGGAGAGGATGCATATGATTTCAACTTGGGTATTTCATTGCTACTACTATTGATAGATTGTTGAGAATTTTCAGCTTCTCCCTCCTTTCTTGCTAAAGCTGCCTTCAAACTAGCAATCTGATAAACATGATATTACCAAAATAATCATACACGTAAAACAATATATTTGAAGATAAAATGATGAAATAAATAAACTTAAGAACCTGCTCTTTAAGCTCTTTCACATCCGAATTATCTTTATTAACGCGTGCGGCTCCAAGTTCAACGGTAGAGACTCGTTCAGCAAACTTTAGAGTGCTAAGTGTTTCTCCAAGAGCTTCAGGCTCTGGACTTATATGAACAAACATGAGAGTCTTTGCTTGCCCTCCTGTTACACATAAGTACTTCCATTAGTATCCAACAAGAGAAAACATCAACGTAATATGCAGTCAAAGAAATATATAAGAAACATTGTACCCAGAGAATCCTGAAGTAGTTGAGTAAGTTTGCTATTCCTGTAAGGAACATGTGCATTCTTTTGGGCAAGGGAAGAAATGACATCTCCCAAGGCAGAAAGTGACTTGTTGATATGTTGAGCCTCCTTAAGTCTATCACCCGTGGCCTCAGTCTTATCAGCTCTTTCACTTCCTGCCAGGTCAACCAGATGCATACTACCACGAATAGTACTTCCTGATGTCAGGTTCTTTCCTTGAACATGAACAGTTAGACAACTACAATAATATAACATAACTAGTTAGTAATAGTACCAAATAATATGATTATGTTATTTGGTTCAACTATGGTTGGTCAAACCCAATTAAATCATATCACTCCACTTATTTTATTATTAGCATAGTAATTAGAAAAACACTTGAAAACACTAACCATAACAATCTTGTAATTAATTACCTGTGAGAGCGACTACTACGATCATTCATGGCAGTAGAACCAACAGCTCGGTTCTTATGCCCCAAGTTCATTAAATTAATGACATCAGAAGTGCATGAAACTGGAACAAGGTTGGCATCCGGCACATTGATGCCATTATGGGAACTGTTACGAATATCTAACGTATGCAGGTGTTAAGGATTGCATTAAGGGACAAGAGAATCAACAATTGAACATTGCATGTAGATAACACTATTAGTTTGAATTAGAGAAAGGATATCTTTTGTTAGCACCATCTGTTGTTAGTAGATCCCTAACTTGCTCATTGTAAATCTCAAGCATCTGAACAGAAATTTCATAAGCAATGGTGTCTTTCCTCAGCTCTGAGAGATAGAATAGATCTTCCAGTGCACGATAGTTGACACCTATGGTTTCCTCGTTAAGGTCATCTGGTCCAGACTGCACCAATACGTAGTTGCATTAATTAATAAATTTTCTAACAAATGAAAGGGGAAAACAAGGTTGTTTGAATTTGTTACCATAGTGAATGTTTTTCCTGATCCCGTTTGGCCATAGGCAAATATACAAACATTGTAACCATCCAAAACAGAACGAATTAGAGGTTGCGTGTCTGAGAAGACCTCCCCTGCAAGCAAACCATAAAGATCAACAATGACAAAAACACGCTGAGTAGCAACAACTTTAATGGAAGGAAGGAAAAATTAAGACCAACCTTGGGTTGCAGAAGGACCAAAGGCTCTATTGAAATTAAATGTCTTTTTCCCTTCTTTGCCGTATTTGGAAGGTGTTATGATTGAAATACTTCCCTCTTCCACGTTACTGACAGAGCTATAGTGGCTTGGTTGACCACCCAAGAAGGGTCGAACTCTACAGTACACCCTAATATTTCCTACCAACATATAAAAAATGTTCACCATTCACTCACATTTAGAACATCAAAAATTAAGGGGAAAAAATATAGATATAAATTCTTGATCATTAGAATTCACCTTTCAAATCTTGCACTTGATTGTACAGCTTACGGTTTTCTTCAAGAACTTTTTGATATCCCGAAGCAGCTGAAGCTAGGCTATGCATATGCTTACCTATTAAGGATTGACAACAAATAAATAAATAATTAGTATGTTTTTTGTCAAATGTTGACTTATAGGGGTTTCTTTTGTTATTAAACTTACTTAGATAAATGATCTCCTTTCGATGTTCATTTTGCATGGATTGCATTCCTAACTTTGTTTGATGGACGATGTTTTTCAATTCCTAAAGAATGTTAAAATCAACTTAGTATACATCAATATTTTCTAAACGGTGGCAATATCAAATTCTAATATATAGTGATAATTACCGAGGTGATTCTATTTTGTTGTTCGACTATATTTTGCTGTTTCAAAATCAAATTTTGTCTACTTGAGTCTTCAAGTTCAAATTGATTATTTTGCTGTTTCAAAATCAAATTTTGTCTACTTGAGTCTTCAAGTTCAAATTGATTATACTTTTCTTCATAACTTTCCTCTTGTTTATCTTGTACGTCTTGGTCATCCTCCTTTTCTTCCATCTTAATAATATAGACAAAAAAGTCAATAAGTTGAGATAGTGATAGAGATCAATCTAAACATTTTTATTTACACTTGCTAAACAGAAGAATTTCTAGAATATGACTTTTACCCTTTCATTAATAAAAACATCTTCTGAAAATGAACAATCTGTTTCAGAAGCAACTTTTGAATTTGAACATTCTGTTTCAAATGTCGTCTTATCTTCCTGGGTTGTTTTACACTGCCATAATTAAAACCATGACATCAAATTCACTAACATTCATGGACCCATATAATGTGAAAAATGTTGTCATCGACTATGAAGTTGAAAATAGCGAAAAGAGGAAGACACAGACCATTTCATGTTGAATTCGGGTGTGATGTTTAAATTCCTCGATGACTTTGCTAAGCAGGGATTCCACTGCCTGTTATAGGAAAATATGTCATATCATTAGTTAAAGAGGTATAAAACCATACATAGTAAAGGGAAAAAGTCTTGTGTCTTACAATGGGAACTTCTTCTGGCTTCTTGTCGGCCAAATATTCACAAACAAGTGAATTTAAGGAAGAAAAGGGACCCTGTGCATACCAATTCAAACAAAAACAAAAAAAGAAGTTAGAGAAATGACCTTTACCATCTAGACAAACGTAAAATATTATAAACAATAAAGTCCCTAACCTTTTCATTTCGATCGAGTCCGGGATCACTCATATAACCATCTATGTCCCCTGATGACACAGTCCTCAAAGGCTTCATCAATGGTTCTGAGTTCTCCCTCAAAAGTGGTTTCCCAGAGATAGGAGGCTTTGCATTAGCAACCCCACTATATTTCCACGACCCAATTCCTCCTCCGAATTTCCATTCCGCATAAGACTTGAGCGCTAAAACACAATTCACTATCCTAGAAGACTTTCCTCCCTATAAATACAACACATGGAGGAAAACAAAAGCTTATTAAAGAAAAAGAATAATAATTACTTTACACTAGCAACAATAACAATGTCGTCAATGATGTATTGACATTGATATCAATCTAGTGAGTCCATCAAAGTACTAAAAATAAAGTTTCAAGTTTAGTCAACAACCTGTTCCAAATCAAAAGCTTCAAAAGTAGGAATCCCCATTTCCTCTACAACCTTTAGAAAACTCCTTACATTTTCAAAATATTCATACGTAGACAATGCTGCTCCATCAGGAATAATAACAGAATCACACGGGCCTTCAATTACCTAACAATGTAAGTCCAATAAATTTCAAAGGAGAGTAAATACTTAAGGTGTCAAAATAAAGCAAAAAAAAAAAAAATACATTATTTTATAATACAATAATACCTTGGGCACTGCTCTAGGTTGAACTTTGTTAAGAACAGTACAAAGGATAATCCCACTACGTAATCCAATTCTGAAATCTTCTTCAGAAGGCTCAGCTGGCAAGTCTTTCCCTCTAACAACTCCAACTGTCTTTCGCAGCCAACGTGCTGCTTCATACCTTCTTAAGGCTGCAACTCGAAATATGTATACACGTTATTCTTTCATGAAGATTATTCGTATTTTCTATGGTTCACAAAATTATTAATTGACAAAGCTTGAAAGCAGTTACTTAATTGCTTTTGATATTGTTTATTAATCAAAATTGAAGTTTAACCATAATAATTTGCATAATAAAATAATTGCATTTAACTTTTAGTTACTGAGATAAAATTCAAATTATGATAGGAGAATAATACTAAAAGCATTTCATAATTTACATATAACTTTTGGTCTTTCCATGATTCTAGGAACAATCATGACCCTTTATTGAAGAAAAAAAATGATTTTCAACAAAATAAGTATCATTTATTGGTTGAAACCAACATTTTGACCAAGAAAATAAACAAAAAAACGCTACACACAAGAATAATTGAATTAATTTACATGATGACATTCTAAAAGTTTAAAAAAAGAAAAAAGAAATTAATAAAATAATGGAGAGAAGGGGTGTTATATACAATCTTCTTCAGTTTTTCTTGATGCCAAATTAACGCCCAACCGACCACTATGTTGTTGAAGAACATCTTCGATCACAGAAGCAAGAGAGAATGTTAAAACTTGTTCAGCTTCCATAACTACGCCTCAAGAAAATAAAAAAAAAAACTATAAAAAAAATTCTTAAAAACCCAAAAATGAATTTAAAGATTATATATTATCCAAAACAAAATAACCCAAGACTCATATGAAAAGCTCGAGTCTTGGGGATAATGACAAAGAATTCTTAGCTATGAAAGACAAAAGTTTGGTTATATTCTCAGAGGAATAAAAAAATGAACAAATGTATAAACATTGTGAATATGAGAAGAGCTTCGAGATGAAATAGTAGAATCACAGAGAATGTGAAGGAATTAAAGAAAGAAAAAGGAAACAATATGTCTTTGAAATTTCTGGTCCTTTCTCTTGCTTTCTATTGGTTCTCTGGTTTTTCTCTCTCTAATTTCTTGTCTATATTGGTTTTTCTCCCGAGCCTTTCGCTGTGTCACTTATTGGTCTGTATTTATCGGGTGATAAAATGACAGTTTATACTTTATATTTTTTTTTACATAATATACTATTTATTTCCTATCTTCTTATAATCCTAATGGTGGTATAATATACTATTATAGACTCAAATATAAGGTAACTTCCACAAAAAATAAATAAAATGAATTTATGAAATGTTATAAAATGAGAAACTAAAGGCTATTTACAGAAGTAACTATTTCACATTTGTTCTCTTTTTTTGTGACAATTTAGTGTTAAAAACATTTTTTTTTGTTTTAATTAAGGGTTTCTTGTCTCCCTTTTTCTACCTACAGATTAAAGGTAAGTCAAACGATTGTAAATTCGTTTGATGTATTTAATGTATATAAAATTTTATGTTTAGGTGGACATGTTTTTCTTTAGTTTGTTGTCATAAACAAAACAAATTAAAACTATTTAACATGAGACAACAATTTATAAGTTTTGAGATGCTACTATGTTTAGCAATAAATACTATACTAATTGATTAAAGAAGTTCTATATTAGCGGACAAAATACACGCACGCACGTACTATGTAAGATCGCACGTATTATGTAAGATCGTGAGTTATAATCATGAATTCAGGTAATATTATATACAATATTTACTAATAAAATAACTTATTTTAGAAAATAAAGTACACTCACCATCATTTATTTGAAAATTATGTTGGAACATATTGGTGATGACAGTTTTGTAATAAAGAAAAAATATCAAAGAGAAAAATATTGATGGTAATGCTCTTGCAACAAATAAGATATATCAAAGGAATACATGCAACTCTTTAAAATATATGTGAAACACTAAATTTTTAGTTCATATTATTCCTACCAATCTCTACAAAATTTGGATATGTGTGACGATGAATCTCTTTTAGTATAAGATGAAGCCTTGAATATATATGGTTTATACTAGCACAATCAAAATTATCATTGTCAATGGTAAGAAAATAATAGCTTCCTTAATTCTCTCATAAGAGAGGAAGTGGAGTGATTTGTATACAAAAAAATCAATTTTTTGTGTGCACATGTTGTTTCTTTTTGTTATGTTCTTATGTTTGTATGCTTTTAACATGTAAATTGGTTTTATCTATAGACTGTTTATGTCTTTTGATGAACAAATATAATTTTTAAAAGAGACATATCTTACATTTTTTATGAATAATGTAATCATTCAAAAAAACACATTTTTTTTTAATTAAAGAACAAGTTTTTATGAAAAGTGATTGTTACAATTTATCATACTACTTATCATTAATTTTTATTTTTTTTACAAATTAATGGTTGAGATTTATGATAAAATAAAATACATATATAATAAAATTTAAAATTAATTACAATCTTAATGATTAATTTCCTAACTAATATATTTATTATTAGACTTTTTTATTTAAAAGTGAAATTCTTCACATTAAAAAAAAATAGACAAAAAAAATAGTTTGGTAAATGGTTTAATGGGTATGTTGACTTCCATTTTTGAGCGTTATTCGTTGTCAATGATAAAAGCCATAAACTTTCATGGAAGCAAAATTAAGTCCACAACTATGCATAGATTTTATTGATTCATTGTTCATGCATTTTGTACCCTCACGAATAAATTAGCAATTGGTCTTAGAATAACGGTTTGGGATGTTTTAGACTAATTTTCACAATTCACACTTTTGTAATTTAACATATATAAGTTTAAAAAAATGGAAGGATTTTTTTCACCAATGATATATCGAGTTGATTTGTGCAACTTAATTAACCATGTCCCGGACATTATTCTGAAAATTACATGAAGAATAGATTAAAAAAAAATTAAGGGTGAGAGGCAATTGAACAAGCATGAAAGACAAACAAGGTTTATGCATCCATCCATTATCAAAAGTTAGACCATCTATATGGTGTATTTACTAATCAAGCAATTTATTTTAAAATCCATTATTGTGGTTACTATACTATTTATTAACTATATACGAAGCAAGCAGTCAAGCACTCCAGTTCCTCATACATCATCAGTACATGTACAACCTTGAACATGTTGTCATCACTTGATTTTAAAGAAGTTGGATACATTGTAAACAAAATCTAAGATAAAAATATCTCTCTAAATGTATGAGCAGCTCCTCTAAAATACTTTTAAAAAATTACGTTGTTATTATGGATCATTTCCAAACCCACCAACACTTATATCTTACTTTAATAATGTATAGATTATTAGAATAATATTATGTACATCAATGATTTGTTGGTCTTCAATAATATCTAATTTTATTTTTTATGAATAATTATTAATTTGATGTGTCAAAATGAATCTAAAAAAAATGTCCAAGAGCCTCATATATAAGTTCTTTTTACATTTTTCCCTTGTGTAGATTTGGTTTTTTTTTAATAAGTTTTAACATTTATATTAAAAGTCGTAACTTATTTATATATATATATAAATTTATTTTATTTTGGACATCAAAGACCTTTATTTATAAACTTTTAAAGAGTTTATATCAAATCATACAAAGTCTTTAATATCTAATAAATCCTACTACCTAAAATATGATATTAATGTATGCATTATTTGTAAAACACAATCAAACAAAAGACTATACTTATAAAACCACTCAGCTTATCGTATTTTATGTTAATATATAAGAAATTTTAGATTAAAAGAAAATAAAGGAGAGTTATGAGATTCCTCACAAGTTATTTTTCTTTTTTCTCTTTTGTTTCTCTCCTTAATTCATAACTTTTTAATCCAGCAAAATTGAAGTTAGAAAAGTTCTTAATCTATTGGATATTGAGAATTTAGTTATTTATTGAATAAATGTGTTATAATTCAAATGATAATCGAGAAATGGTAATTTTGATTTATACATTGGTATCAAGTTTTCTTAATAATAAGTTTCAAGAGGATTCAAATCCACAAAACATAGAATCTGGTTTTGATTAGAATATAAAAGTAATATTATTTTAATAAGATATAAGTCAACAGCTTTCGTAGCTCAGTTGGTTAGAGCACCCGTTTAGTAAGCGGGAGGTCTTGAGTTCGACTCTCAACGAAAGCAAGGATTTTGCTTTTCATTTTAATGATATTCATCATATATACGTTTGAATTCATCATATATACGTTTGAAGCTTCTTAACTATAAAACAATCATGTCATGAGTTCGACTCTCAACAAAAGCAAGGTTTTTGCTTTTCATTTTAATGATATTCATCATATATACGTTTGAAGCTTCTTAACTATAAAACAATCATGTCATGAGTTCGACTCTCAACAAAAGCAAGGTTTTTGCTTTTCATTTTAATGATATTCATCATATATACGTTTGAGACTTCTCAATTATAAAACAATTTTAATGATAGAGGCTTCTCAACTATAAAACAATCATGCTATAGTTCAACTACTTTGGAAGTTCATTAACCAAATCAAAGAAAGGAATTAACTCTGCAACATGCTACTTTCAATGTTTAAAAATAAGGGAAAACAAATAATCGTTCTTTTTTATTTTAAGACTTTTGAAATTAAGAAAATTCAAAATGTTAAAATTACCCCTTGATAACATCCCTTTTCCCCCTTAAATTTATAAAACTATCAGACAAACCTTTTTAGTCCTCACCACCATTTTCTTCCTACAATCTTATCACTATCCTGTTTAACCAGGATGCCTTCCACTAAAACCGAATCAGTAATTCTTGCTGCGGAGTAAAAGCTTCAAAATTTGGTAGCCGATAAACAATAATTAGATTTTATTGAGAACAAGTCAACAATTACAAACAATGTTTCTCTTCTTTCTCCTTCAAATACAAACAGAAGAGAGCCCGATTTTAGGTTACAAATAATTCTTTTGCCACAACATGAATGGATAGATAATACAGTCAGAAAACTAATCTAATTCTTCTTCTTCTTGGAGTTGATAATATCTGATTCTGTGAATGATTTTTTGACAAGGCCAGATAAGGTCAATTTCAGATCAAAGGTCAACCTGGGAAGAATCAAGGACAACGTGTTCACATCCACCATGGCCCTGTGAGCTGATCCATCCACTTTAATTCTGTAGAGGTCACGAAGGGCGGCAAGGGATGTTGAAGAAAGTTCTGTTCCTGTTAACACCGCAAAAAAGTTAAGGTTTTCACACAGAAACAGCAAGAATTTCTGTATGTGTGTGTACGTGTATATGTTCGCATGCATGTTTGTATAGAGAAACGAGAGTAAGAGACCTCCAGACTTCATTAGCTCACGAGCCAGAGGAAGGGTGTCTAAAAACAACCAATTGGGAGGAATCTCCATAGAATATCTTCGTAACTCATTGATGATGAAGGGTACGTCAAAACAACGAGCATTATGAGCTACAAATAACACATATCCCCCAGGCTTCTCACGAGTTTGAACGTAGTTCAATAAGATGGGAATTAGGTCCACCATCCTTCAGAAAATTCGTAAGAGCACAAAAATGTTCAATAGTTCAACTTGCAAAATTAACAGTGTCAATTATTTCAATCAGCAATGTCAATAAACAAATCAGTTCAAAAACAAATGGGAAACATGATGATAGTTACTAGAAACATGATGATAAATAAACAACACTCTAGACTCAGATTAATATCATATAGAAGATATAAAACCGGAAACTTATGTTTTCTTCCTTCCACTACATCATCCGATCAGCATGGTTACCTACTTACCAACGTACTTCACTGTCCATGTGCAATGACTATAAATAAAGAATTTTGGAAGGATAGAAATATTCAAACACTGTATCTGCATATGTTGAAACTCTACATCTCCTTATCAGTCTGTTTATTAGACAAGTTCGGTCATCCATTCTATGCCCATCAATAATTAAGAATCATGACAACTACATTCTTCTTCTACCACTTTATGTTCAAGTTTTCAGAAAATGTGCACGACAACTCCTCATAAAATCAAACATAAAAATGTGAAGTCTCCTTGATTACTTCTGAAACTAAAATCCACTCATTGTATATAACATATTGTATCCGAGTCCAACATAGTTGTTTCATCAGTTTAAACTGTAGATTATTGCTCAATCATGCTCTTAAGCCATATACCTCAACAAGGGAAAAATATGTGCCACTAATATTGAGACTGCCCCACCTAAATTCACCTCTACAGTAAAATTTTCAGACTGCCCCACCTAAATTTACACACTTTTTAGCATTGGCTAATCAATTAAAATTCTACACATATGATGAAGCTGTGTTGTAAGACACAATGGAATACTTTCTTTAGCAAAGGTAAGGATAATCCAAGGACCCAAGATGTGCAAGAGCTATAGAGATTTAGGTTACCTTGGAACACCAGGCTTGTTGACCATCTGAGTTGTAATGCCATGAATACGTGAATTAGGAACTTTGCATTGAGGGTTTACAAGAGTCTGAAAAGTGCTGTTCTCACCACCCTGAAGATCCCGAAGTGCAATTTCAATGATCCGTTCGTTCTCTCTACTAAGCCCTGTGGTCTCAATATCAAAAACGATAACAGTGACTAAGCTAGACAAGTTTTTATTCTGAGCAATCTCTTGTTGTAAGTCACAATACTCAATTGCCTGGAATTGACCTAGCTGTGTTTTATTTACATTTACTGTAGAACTTGCTAAAATGGTTTCATTCAAAATTTCATGCTTGATACTTTTTGATTTGGTGCTCCTGTTGCCTTCTGTATTTGTAGTTATAGGTCTTGTCCACTTTTTTCTATGTCCTCCCTGAAGACCATAAATTCTAGAACCAAGCAGCCTGATGCTAGAATTGTTTCCACAATTTGTACTGAAACTGTGGAAGGTTTCACCCCAAAAATTAGCTAAGCTTTGTATTCTACATCCAGGTACATGCAATAGTGAAAAAATCATGGAGCCTGTTTTCATTTGAATTCAATTACGACAACTAAGACAATTGCTTGATCAAGAATTCTTCAACCAATGAGTCAACAGCAATAACCTGAAAATATATAAAACAGAACAAATGTAATACACAAACTAAGAAAAACTCTAGAGGCGTACATTATCATAGAAGTCTGATCTTTTAATGCTAAATCCAGTGTTAAATCATGTCACACATATATATTTCGAAGTTACATCTTACAAATTTTTGAAGGATAAAGAAATACATCATATTAAATAGAAAATTTCAGGGGTTGAACTGCTGGATTTATCTAAATTAACTTCATGCTAAGAATGACAAATCGACAACTAAACCCAGTGCAAACAAACCCTATATTTATATACTAAATCCCAATTCTTTTTGAAAGAGAACAAAGAATTACATAAAAGTATTGACAAAGCAACCACCACAAACTAAATGCATAATTACAATAGTATATGGGATTTTCCACACAGGGCCAGTCAGCAGAAAAATCCCAAAGAAAAATAGATGATATTGTTCCTTAAAAACAGAATAGGGGGCTGAAAAAGTTATTTCATGGAAAAACTTCTCCGGGTTTATCATTGTCATCACATGAATTCATTAACCCAGAAGGATTACGGCTCTGCCGTAAAAGGAAATGTACTCCAGTATCAATTTATAAAACAATACACATACTTTTAGCCACATGCAGACTGTGGTGAGGTAACAATCCGTTTTAGCGAATATAATGAATAGGAAGCTTAAATTATATAAATGAACCCTATATTAATCAATCAATATAATAAGGGTTTATGAGACGGAAATCATGCGATACACTAATTACATCAACGAACCTCGTACAATCTTCCATTTATAGATAAACAACAACAACAATAACAACAAAAAATAAATAGAGCAAGACATTTTCTGTAGTTCATAATCTCAAACAGCACGAATAAGAAGATAAGAAATGCTATCTGTTTCAACAAAATACCAATTTGTTTTACCCCATACGTGTACAAAAGCTTTCTAAGGAATTTCAACACAGATAAATATTTTCCGAATCGAAAGTAATAGAAAAAATTCAAAGGTCAAAGAAGCAACGAAGAAGAAGAAGGTTTGAAAGAATGAGTTACCTGAAAGAGGGTGTGATTGGAATTGAAGAAGAAAGGCATTTGGAGAAAATAAGTAGTTATAGTGTGTGTGTGTGTGTGTGTGACAGAGAGAGAGAGAGAGAGAGAGAGAGAGAAGGGAGCGTGCTCCGTTCAACAACTTCGTAACTTGCGGATCGCCTATTCTTTTCTTTCACTTTAACTGCACTTAACTCCTTTCTCCAATCTTTTTCTTTTTATATTACTGTTGAAACTTCAATGGATGCAAAACTCAAACCAATTGTTTCTCTGAAAGGAATAATTAATGACAATATATTGTACTAAATATTATTAATTGGTTAAAAACAATTTTTATATTTTTATTGTAATAATATTGAAAATATATTATTTATTTTCTTAATACACATTATCATTCCTCGACTTGGAATTAAAAAAACAGAAATATTTGCCTGTGTCGTGTTGAATTGTTCAAGAGAACTCCAAATTACCTGAATACCGTCAAGTGCGTTATTGAAGAGAAGTGGATGATGGAAATTCATTAATTGAAATATGGTGGTTTTCTTTGTTTACGGTATAAGTTATATACTTTAAAAATGTTTTGGTCTCATATAGGATATAATGGTAAGAAATCATGTGCGTCTCCCTTCAGTATGAAAAAGAAAAAGAATCATGTGTGCGAATATCCGTTGCTTGAGTCATGTTTGTTGCTTTACAATTGCCACAATTGGTTTGATTGTTCAGTGTTGCTAACTAACAGATTTCTTGCTACTTTCTACAATATCCACATGAAAAGGCCCAAACAGACCACAGGGCTACCAGCCTGACCCGAATTCTATTATTGGGCCCTTCTTTTGTGCAAATTAATGTCTGCTTTCACAAAGGAAAGCCTAAAGCCTTTTCTTCAGACCCACAACTTTCAGCTAGTTCGGCGAAAAACGTTTCTCAACACTTTTGGGCCTTATGGGTTTGTGAATTGTGTGACCCTTGCCTGTTTGCTTTTGAGCCCACAACTAAAATAAAATAATTATGAATCATGTTTGCAAATAAATATTCAACCATAATTACGAGCAAAATTGAAACCAGCAAGATTATACTTTACTCTTATATTAAGGAAAGAGAGGATTTATTTTTCTGTAAGCAAGTATTGTATTTCTTTATTCCAATTATAATTAAAATTGTACCTTTAAAATATTGACCCCTTAATACGCAGTTTAAAACAAAACTCTATTTTTAATATAAGAATAAAACACTTTAAAAATTGTGCATAAGTTGTCTTTAAAAAAAATGAGTAGTGATTTTTCGTTTTCCCTGTTTTTTTTTCAATACCATTCAGGAGAGATGCTTTCAATCACTAGTACTTATTTATAATTAAACTATTTACCCAAACAGTAAATTAAAAAAAAACATTTTTAGGTTATGAAATTAGTAGATGAATGAATACGTAAATCTCAACATAAATGATCCTTCAATATAACTAGCACGTATTTTTTCCAACTTTAAAGAGCAAAGTAACTAACTTGGATCAAAAAAATTCAAGAATTTCGTTCAATTTTTTTTTCTTCAATAAAAATAATATTTCACGCCCAAACTGAATAAACTAAAGAATAATCTGTTTGAATAAACTAAAAACTAATCAGCCGCATAATTAAAGATTAATCTGCTTGAATGAAGTAAAAACTAATCAATGAGCGAAAATCCCTTATGCAGTTATTTTAATACAGACTGAACATTTTTTTAGTTATCCGAATTTATGTATGTCTTTAGTTTTCTCATTAATTACCAAGTTTATCCTATCCTCCATGGGTCATGGAAACGAGACACAAAGTGCTTAACCGATAATTAAGCCAAAATGGCAAAAACCTCGAAAGATCCTTGCATCTCAGAGGGAGTAATGGTATAGTATATTCTTATACATAAAGTAATAAATAAATAAATAAAAATATCCGAGAATAAAGAAAGTTGGGCAAGATTTGTCTTATTGATTTGGACAAGCTCAGTTGATGAAGGAATTAATTCCCTGAAGCGGCTAAACACCAAGAACCATAACAACACAAGAGCGAGAGTATGGAACAGAGAAGATTATATTATATAATATATACTATAATAATGAAACATTAATCTGAAATAGAAGTACTTACATGAGTAACTAATGGAAGCTATGATCCTGAATAAACAGTAGTGAAAAACCTAAAAAAGAGATGGCAGTCCCTTTCCCTCTAACAAAAAGAAAGACAAAAACTTTACAAGGCCCAAAAAAGAGGATTAGCTAAGATGAAAAAGGTTTGTCGATTAGTACTAATTAGGTTGTTGGTTACCTTGAATCAGGAGAATTAAGGAATGGAATGAATGACTCAAGCGAAAACAGAACCACAGGACAAGGCCATCAAAGAAACCGCAGCTTGTTCCTCCTCGCCCAACATCTTCCACCTCTGTTTCTTCGCAACATCCTCTCTCTTCCTCGAACAAGCCCTTTTCTTCCGATACCTAATTCCACAAGCATTGCACAGAGTCTGCATGACCCAAAAATAAAAAATAAAAAAAATAAATAATTGAGGGCATAAAAGAAAAAGAGAAAGGGAAATGAAATAGAAGTGGGTGGTGTTGTTGGGCCTTGGGTCCAGCCGGTCCTCCTCTCCAGAGTGGGGTCTTGGTGGTTTTGCAGTCAGCGCAGCATTTCTTGCTCTGCAGAGATGCCCATTCTTGCTTGAGATCCATGATTGTCATTCAATTCAATCACTCTACTACAAATAACACACCCTCCTCCCTCGCATGCAACCGACTATCCAAAAACCCTACCCTACCCTTCCTCTTCCCAATGACACGTGTCTCTGTCACGTGTCACACTGCCACACCCACAAGGTTAGTGGAAATTTCAAGACTACACTAACAATATATAATAATCTCATTAATACAACCTTCCTCATTGGTTGGACAGATTTCATTATGCATAACCATATCTTAGAGATGAGCCCAACACAAATAGGATCATCATTAATCTGGGACCAAAATATCTTATCAATTCTAAATTTATCACTATTACTTTTCTCCATATATATCCCCTTCCAATTCAAATGAAAACGCGTACAAAATCATCGTGCCTGCACAAAATTATAAAACAACTTTTTTAATTAAACACTTCGATTTTTAATTTTATCCTAATTAAATTCTTAAACTTTATCTTACTTGCAAATTATTTTTAAAAAATCATTTGAACTGTTCCTTAAATTTCATGTTTTTATAATAATTTTATTTCATCCTTGAACTTACCATTTACCTTATTCGTTACAATTCATTTTTCATAATTTTATTTCAATGAACTATCTTTAAAGGCTTTTAATTATTTTAATACATTACTTTCAATTCAATATTATATTCATCATGTAATATAGTAATTATTTTAATACATTACTTTTAATTATATTCAAGGATCTCCCTGTTGGATACTAGCTATCTGCACTACGAGAATGTTGTGATTGGAACGGTCTTGACTACACTTCATGCTGGAAGTGTCGTCCTGACATTGTTCCCCAATTACAATGTTAGCTTAAGAGACCTCACTGTACCAGAGAGACTAAAGGTCCAAGTCCAGATAACCGGAGCTGCCCAGACCGCTGATGCTGTTTGTACTACTCTCCACTACCAAATCATATATAGGCTACAGACCCATGCAGTCAATTTGGCCTGAAGACGCAATCAGCTTACAACATTCTGATAAATCCAGACAAGGCAGAATTTTTATTCTGGACTTTATTAGAATGGTTTTCACCTCTCCCATGGTGGAGAAGTGAGTTAAAAAAGGTTCTTGATTTCCAAAAGAATCAAATGGGGAAAAGCAAAAAACAATGTGAGTCTTTAACTTCTATAGCCATCATCAGTCGCCCTTATTTCCAGAAACCAACAGGACAACTATGGTCTAAAAATGAAGCTTATTTCTGGGGAACTTTTGAGACATATCCACCAGATCAGAGTTACAGGACATAGTTGATCAACCATCTTAAGGAAGCAAAAATCCAACAAAAAATCCAAGGAGAAGCCAGCTCATCCCAAAGTCGGTTCATTCCTACCCAGTCGAGCCATCAGAGTGTCAATACTTTCATGAGCAGAACTGAGTATTACGTGCCTGATGAACAGTTTCAGACAGCTAATGATCTAGGAGAAAACAACGAAGATGATTACTATACTGAATTGATAGACAACTGTTCCGATTCAGATGCATCAGATCCGAATCTTTCTCCTAGTCACGAGCCCATTATCAAAAGGAACTAATAATGAGAATCTACTTTTCATACTGTCTGCCCTCTTGTCTGCCATAAAAAATAAGTGTGTATGACAGCTTGTATTTTATATGAGTCATGACCATGTAGGTCCTCTGTTTGTACCCGTTCCTATCGTCTGAGTCATAATAGTTTGTCTAGTTGTGTGAGTCATACCCCACGAGGGTTCTTTACTGTATTTAGCTTTTAGGGAGCCAATCAGGATTGGCCATGTGTAAAATCCTTGTTGTTTGTAAGCCTCATAAGATCCCCTCCGAGTTTATATAAGGGGGTTCTCTTTCAGTTTGTAACCAAGTCAAGTTTACAATAAAATTCTCTTGTGTGTTTATTACTCATGGATTGCTAAACCTCTCTTCCTCTCTTTCGAAAACTCTTGATCCTATTATAGTATTATGTTCTCGGTGGTACATGGTTGAGCAAGTATGTTCTGTACTCGCCTCTTTAAGAGGATCTTGTACAACAGAACGCTATGAACCATTGATCCAGTATTTTCCGATCCTTAGGATTTATGATTAATTTGTTAAATATAAGACAGAGGCTGAAATGACCTCGGCGAAGGATGCCGAATAAGTAAGCAAGTTCTTATATTTTGATAAATGAGTCATAAGTCTCTAAGGCTCTCGGCCATATTGGTATCAGAGCCTAACAATCTCAAATACTGAGGCCATAATACTATCTTAGAGGACAGAGTGAGTAGAAGAGAGATTTTACTACCATGAAAAAATCTACTTCAGACACTCAACCCGCCTTCCTAAACACCTCCTTATCTTTACCCAACCATGTCTCTAGAACTCTAGCACCAAAGATCGAAAACCTAGTTGAATTTTCATATGTCCCCGAAGATGCTCAGATCTCTGAGAGCACTGCCCCCCTTCTAAGTCCATATAATATATTCAAACGCCAAAGATCTACTCTTAGATCTATTAGACAGTTGGTCAGAACCTCTCGTCCACATGAAAAGGAATACGTTCAATCTTCTAAGATGGAACAGTGTTCTTTGATGGCCACTTATGAGGAGCAGTATGTTACTATTGAGATCCCAAAGGAACTCATCCGACACTGGAGGACCGATGGATACACCCACCTTCACTACGGGGCCATTAGGTTGATGCTCACACTCCATGGGAGACGAGGACTTCCTGTCTCCTCAAGCATCTCCCTGTTGGATACTAGCTATCTGCACTACGAGAATGCTGTGATTGGTACGGTCTTGACTACACTTCATGCTGGAAGTGTCGTCCTGACATTGTTCCCCAATTACAATGTTAGCTTAAGAGACCCCACTGTACCAGAGAGACTAAAGGTCTAAGTCCAGATAACCGGAGCTGCCCAGACCGCTGATGATGTTTGTGCTACTCTCCACTACCAAATCATATATAGGCTACAGACCCATGCAGTCAATTTCGCCTTACCCAGCAGCAATGATAGTGCCTTGTTTGTTCTTGCAAACCAGGCAGAAGAAAGTCCATCGATTGTCCAGGTTCCCAGGAATATCTCCAGGGAACAGCTGAAGGAGATCATCCCATTACAATGGGTGACAAATTATGAGAATCTCCACAAGCACCATGGCAAGCCAATCCAAACGGATCAAGCAACTTTCATAAGATCCGTCGACGGAACGGTCAGAACAATCTTTCAACAACCTGAGAAAGCCTCAGGTCCAATTTTTCAAACAATGATGTTAGAACCCTTCGTCAAGGAAAAAAGAATTCCCATCTTTGCGGTACATGCAGATGGGAGAGAGATCTATACCGATCGAATCAACGGTCACTTCATCTGGGATGTTGCCCCAGAAATGTGCGATCCTGAGTGCGATTGCTGGATGCACTCAGGAGACACCAGTGAAGAAGAAGATAGTGAATCAGATAGTGACTAAAGTGACGATGAGGAGTGGAATACACCCTGTAAGTCACCACCTCGACCTAACAGGAGGCCAGATTCACAGAATAAGTCTTCTTTCAACAAACAGACCAATCAACGAAGCAGATCTTCTTACAGCATGATCTCACCAAGGTGTTCAGATGAGGTGAAAAGGTTTTCTCCTCCTACACCTAAACCAGTACCATGCTTCATGTTTTCTGAAGCAAACAAAGATGTAGAATTTCCTCCTCTGGAAAGAAAAATAAACCCTAATACGAGTTCTACCAAACCCACCATCATTCCTTCGGAGATTGGTACTGACAGAAAGCCAAAGGTACTAAGTCAGGCAGAAGAAGTTCTCAACTGGCAAACTGAAAACGCTCAAGCACAGAACTCCTTGCTGAAAAAGATTGATGACAAGGTTACAAAAATGTCAAGCAGTATGCAAAAATCAGAAAACAAGCTGGATTATCTCTCATCCAAGATGAAGACATACTACCAAAAGTTAACTGCTGACATTTCCAGACTGAAGAATGAAATAAAGAATATTCCATTTGGTGCAGCACTAAATGAAAAGGATCGAGAAATCGGGAGTTTAAAAGCTCAACTCTTCCAATTAGAAGGACAAATAGAACAAAAGAAAAAGGCTTTACAGCCTCAGCCAGTTGCTGTAGATCCTTACGCATTCTTGCACCCTCCTGCACCTGTGTCTCATTCTCTGTTCAAGACACAATCCGTCTCATGGTCTAAACCTGAAAGACCACATTACAACATTCCTACTGCCTCTGCAAATTGGCAATGGCGAAAGACACAATCCAGTTCACAAAAAATCTCTAAATCAATAGAAGATGACTCCAAATCTTCTACCCCGGTTTCGTCACCAAAAAGGCACGATACTGGAAAGGGTCATTACTTTCAAGACTCACAAGACCCTTACTCTCAGATGATGATCAAGGAGGATGAACAACTTGCTATTCTAGAATCTTCTGTAAACACTAGATCAGAAGATGATCTTCTCACAAATTTATCTAACGAAGATTCCATTACTACAGCTTCATCAGAAGCACAATTAGCAGATCTCTTTGTTTTAATGGCATCTACTGGACCAGATCCTATTTATGAATCCCCTGATGAGAGCCCAATACAGAGTCCTAGAAATAGGACCGCTAAACCAACTAGGGGACCTTGGTTCACCCTTGATGATGTTGACCCAAGTCAATGGAGATCTCGGCTAATTGAATTTAGAGCTTGGCTAGACACCAGGTTTATGAAAGGAGATACTGAATCCTACAAGATCATTGAAGAATTTGAATGTAGGATGACTAGCATCCTAAAAGAATGGTATGCTAATTTAGGTCCAATCGGTCAAAACACATTTCATGAGCTGGGAAATACAGCTGCTGTCCTAGGTGCACTCCACGAAGAATTCATAAGAGATGGAGCTCTCACAAACAGAAAAATCAGACAATAATTCTTTGAGATGAAGTGTTGTTCTCTTAAACTAAAGGATCTTGATAAGCATTATTTAAGGATGCTTAAAAGATTCTATCTTCTTAATGGTATGAATGATCCGAGCTTGAAAAGCACCTATGTTAGCTCACTTCCTACAGAAATCCAGCCAGAACTTGCTAGAATGGATGCTGCCATGAATAAAGATTTTATAGGCCTAACAATGGGTCGAATCCATCAGATGACCCAAGAGGCTGTAGACAAGCTTTGCCGACAACATGAATACTTCTCAAATATGCTGAAAGATAAAGGAAAGTATGCCAAAGCTTGCCGAAAACCCTTCTTGGAGATCAAATGCAAAGACAAGGACCGATGCCACTGTTCAAAGAAAAAATTCAAAGGCAAGAAGTTCAAATCTCATTTCAAGAAGAAGAAGTATAAGAAACCTTATAGGTTTTTTAAGAAAAAAGAAATTCGTGAGAAAAATCCAGGGCAAAGATGTTACATCTGTGGCAAAAGAGGACATTTTGCTAAGTCCTGTCCAAATAAAGCTCAAAAGGCCATAAAGATGATTACATCTTTACATCTGAATGATAGGGATGAAGTAGAATCCCTTTACTCTGAACAAAGTTCTGCAGATGAAGATACTGTATTTGCTCTACAAGATTCTTTCTCAGACAACTCTAGTAGTGATACAGATGACTATAGCCAAGAGGAAGATTCAGTCCCAATCTTTGTTGTTGATCAATGAGATAGTATGACAACTGTTGTTCCTTCACACCCCAATGTGAAAATTGAAATCCTACCATCTAAGTATGAGAAACCTATTAAGGTTATAGGTTTTCTTGATACAGGTGCTTCTAAGACTATGATGAATCCAGAAATCTTGCCACCACATTTCTGGAAAAAAGAAGATACCTTCTTCATAGCAGCTGACGGAAAAATCTACAAATCAGAAGTCATTTCACGAGCACCAGTAGGCATCCGCATTTCAGAGATTGCATAATTTGGTCCAAAGTCGTTGGGACTAAATTCCCTAACAAAGATATCTTAATTGGAATGGATGTTTTCACTCAAGCACACAAGCTACTCATCCATCCAACTGGACTCAGATTCAAAGGAGAATTTAAGCCTTTCGTGCCAACCAGTAAGTTGTACTCTCTTTCTGAAGCTCCACCAGAATTAGAAGAAATCAAGATACAACTGAGATCTTTATGTTCTGATAATCATAAAGATTTCACCCATCCAAAACCACTCTGGAAAAATCCTGATTTCTTTGTACACCTGCCATTCAAGCTAAATGAGGATGTAAATCCCACAAAAGCTTCTCATCCAGGCATATCTCCATCTGATCTTAAATTAGCCAAACAAGAATGTCAAGAACTGCTCATACAAGGTCTCATTGAACATACGACATCAAATTGGGCGTGCCCAGCCTTCTACGTAGAAAAAAGATCAGAAAGACTCAGAGGAAAGAAAAGATTAGTCGTTGACTACAAGCCTCTCAACCATTTCTTGAAAGATGACAAGTTTCCACTACCCAAGACATCCACTCTGCCTATCTTGCTAAAAGAATCAAAAATCTTCTCTAAATTTGATCTCAAATCCGGATTTTGGCAGTTAGGAGTTGATCCCAGTGAAAGGCACAAGACAGCTTTCTGCATACCCAATGCATAGTATCAATGGACTGTCCTACCTTTCGGCTTAAAGGTAGCACCACCACTATTCCAGAAAGCAATAACAAAGATACTTGAACCACTCTTAGATAATGCTATCATCTACATAGATGATATTCTCTTATTCTCCAAAGACATGGAGAGTCACAAAAAGCTTTTAAGCCAATTCCTGGAAAGAGCAAACTTGTATGGTATCATGTTCTCAGAAAAGAAGATACAGTTAGCCCAATAGGAAATTGACTAAATGGGGATGAAATTCTCTCAAGGAACTTATCAACCTCAACCTCATATTGCTGAAGAGTTACTTAACTTTCCTGAAGAAAATCTATCTGTCAAACAGATCCAACAGTTCCTTTGAATCATAAACTACATCAGAGATTTCATTCCGAAAGTTGCTAGATACACAAGCCCTCTCTCAAAACTGTTGAAGAAAGATCCCCCTCAATGGGGACCAGAACAAACCAAAGCTGTCCAAGAAATAAAAAAGATTGCACAGAATCCTCCTGCATTAAGATCCCAGGAGATGGGAAAAAAATCCTCCAGACAGATGCAAGTGATCATTATTGGGGTGCCGTTTTCATTGAAGAAGTAGACGGAAAAAGGTTATATTGTGGGCATGCTAATGGACAATTCAAAGAAGCAGAAAAACAATAGCACACCACCTACAAAGAAGCACTGGCTATGAAGAATGGAATCAAGAAGTTTGATTTCCACCTACGAGGATATAAAAATAGCTTTCCATTAATCTTTATGGTGAAACCATTACCTGATACTGCAAAAACAAAAAAGCTATATCCTCCTGGTTTTAAACCTAATAGTCCTGAAGAAATTATCCACTTCGTTGAAGCTCATTATTTTTATTATCTTCATGAGACTTTAAAGTTTAAAATCGTCCCTCCATCTATGTTTGATCCAACAGAAGACCATCCTGGAATTTTTGAATTATTCTGTGAAATTGGTTGGAATTTGTGTGAACCAACTCTTTGGGCCTTATGGTGTAAAACTGTCCAACCAGTACTTTTATTAATTAATTTTTTTCCCAAGGCTTTGCTTCTTACATAGCTATTCACACCAACTCAGAAGCTGAATAATAGTAATATTAAATATAGAAAAATAAATAAATAAATAAATAAATAAAACACCTTAATGAATTTTACTTGAATTCTCATGCGATCCAGTGCGAAGGATCCATGGTTAATTGGTTATAATTACTAATTAGCGCTGGCAATTCACAATCGTACAGATCCAAGATCTGTCTAGATCCAATGCTTTGGGGTCTATTTAGATTTTGAATAAAAACTGGTTTCATAAAATTGATTTTAAGAAAAATAATTATATTTTTAATTCTAAAAATAAGTTAATAATAAATATCAATGTAAATTTTTTAATACAGTACAAAAAATCATCTAATATTAATTCAACTCAATTAAATTTGAATCTAAAATAAATTCTCCAACATAAAATCCGTTATAATCACAATTTTAACCTGATTTTTTATTGTAAATCGTAAAGTCCATGAGATCAATTACCAGTTTGGGGTAGTCAAGGTAAAGCTCCTTAAATCTACGGTCTACTGAAGAGAGTAGAGGAGCTGTCGAAAACATTTCGAAGTTGGAAGAGTAAGCAAAATGACAAGCTATTTTCAGGGCGATTTTAGCAATTTAGAAAAGGAGGCAATGGCTATTTATATGATAGTAATGGCGATTTTAGCAATTCAGTTATATGATAGTTTTATTTTAAATAGTTTTAGTGAACATCTTTCACTTGTTCAATCAATCAACACAGCAATGCAGGGGTCCAAATCGATTTTGACTATACCTGATGACTGAACTGAGACATGAGACAACAGCTTAAACACTATTACACGAAAGGGACCGTTGAATAAGCCTGTGAAGAGCCACGCCAAGAATGAGCTTGAGGAAAGCATGCCACAGGTGACAGGTCCTTCACTGGCTCGGATCACATACATGATCAAAGGCAGATCCTCTCCTGCTGTACTGCATCTCCAGCAAAAAAAAAATTACAAGGAAAAGCAGCGTGGCAATGAAAAAGTGAATTAAAAATATAATAAAAAATTAGAAAGACTGCTGGAGAGGCGATGGAAATAACTATGCTGGAAAGATCCAAATCCAATTTTATCAAAAACGATTATTTCGAGTTTTTATCTTTTACACAGAATAAATAAACATCCAAAATTCTTATTAAAGGACATCAAAATAATGAAAAAGACAGGCTCCACATTAAGAGCTTATATTTTTGTAAATTTTACATTTTTAAAATAATTAAAACTCATTAAGAGAAAGCTATACTGATAATACATTAAACAAAATCGTAATACCAAAAGCACGTGCCTGAGTAATTCGTTAAGGCATAATAAGCAAAAGAGATCGAATACTGGCGGTGGATCTCTGCTATTTTTCCTATTGCTGACATCATCTTAAGCATCCAAGTTTTAAATTAAACTCCTCAAATCTAAAACATTAATTAAACATATTTGAAGACACAATTTTTTAACGACGGAATGGATTACAAAAACTATTTCTCAATCAACGAATTAGCACCAGTTTATAAGGAATTCAGCGTCATTTTTAAAAAAAAAACACACTTCTATCCCTAAAAATGACTTACATTCCAAATCAGATTCTACATGTTTAGTTCCCCAAGCATATCATACATGAGAATATCGAATGCTAGAAATTGACACCGACAGTTTCTTCTTCAAATCAACATAACTATCCATTTATACGTTCCATCGAAGGCCACGAGTAGTTAGAAATATGAAGCAATGTTCAAAGCAAATAAAGGCAATCTGATACACAAAACGAGTGCAAATGAGATAAAATGCATGGATGAGAGAACAAAGTGGTGCAAGACCTATCCCGTACCAGATCAGTAAACATTACATACCGAGCCTGAAAGGAACCTAGAGAACATAATGAATAGAATTTCATGGTAAAATTCAAAAAAGCTTACAAAGAAAGATGTAAAATAAAAACTCCATCTAGTAACTAAACATAGATAAAAGATAGTAGCATTCGGTATTTGCCAAAACATCCAAAATCTCGTGTGGTACTTAATGAATCCAATCTATGACAGAAAAAAATTAGCGAAAATCAACAATTCTATAAAAGCCAAGTCACTCGGAAAGATCTCTTGGCAGAAAGCAAACTCTAGTATATATAGCCCTAAAATGGCAAAGAAAATCAAGCCACAACCATCTGTTCCCATAATGTATGTAAAACCAGCCATTTCAAAAACCCAAGCCGGTCCAGCAACCCTCTATTTACCAAGGCTGAACCTTGCAGGAACCAAGGACAATGCAAAGACATTGACTTGACCACCAAATGTTGGACTGTCAAACTGGAGGACTTTACAGATAGACCAGCCAAAACTCCTGCAGTTAACAAAATTCAAAATAATGTCCACTTAATAAAGGAAACCAGAATGTAAACCGGAAAACTTTACTAGTTCCAATAAAGAATTTGCAGAGAAAAAATAACAAGGAAAAATAAAACATAAAATTATCTTAGTAAAGCATGAATACCTTTTAATTAAAGTTGAATCCTCCCGACGGCACAGTAGGAACTCCAGGGCCACCAAAGTTAAACCCTGATTGAGGAGCAACATCCCCTGGAGGCATAGTCTCATCATCTTCCTCGATCCAGTATGTCTCAAGAATCTTCACTGACTTTTCATAAATCTCCGTGTTATCATGACTCTGGAGGTTCTCAATTTTCTCCAAACCCTCCGCATCATCAATCATTTGGGCATATAGATTCACACCATCAGTATTGCTAATATTTTTCTCAGTTTCTCCTACCTTCAAGATGTTTTCAAGCCCTTCCAGACAAACATTAACAATCCTTGGATCAGGACATATTAGAAGATCACACAAGGGCTTAATACACCCTTGACATACCAGGTACCTGTCAACCAAGGAAAAAGATTCATAATCTTTGAAGGAAAAAAGTTATACTTGCAACACAAAAATAATCTCAAAGGAACATTCTAAACTCAAGAATCTCTCCATACTTCAATTGTTCATTAGATCCACCCGAAGTAGCATTTGAGATAGCCCAAGCAGCCTCTTTTTTTATATCAAACTCAGCATTTTGAAGCAAGTGGACTAAAGGAGGAATTATGTTGGCCTCAATTACATCCTGTGGATTGTCAGAAATTAAAACACAAAGAAAACACGTAAATTTTAACTACCATAAATGCACAATTACAACACAATGAAAATGTAATCTACACCTGAATCTGCTGCTTATTCCCAGCCGTGATGTTTGATATGGTCCAGCATGCTTCCTTCTTTATGCTTTTTTTATAATTATTAGTCAAGAGATTCTGAAGACGAGGAAGAGCTTGATGGTTGATGATGACCTAAGCAAAAAAGAACACAACACAAACAAAAATTATGTGAGTACAAATGCGTATCTATATATAATTAGCTCATCCAAGCAGAAATAGACAGATTCCTCAGAAAAATGGATTCTCTACAGAAAAAGAAGCAACAGAATAGTAATAATAATAAGGATCGGGAGGGAATATTACGGGGGCAAAACAGTATAGTAAATTGGGGGCTTAATCTAGAAATTGTTATATCTGCTGCATTTTTTCTATTCTGGCATCTTTGATTTTGAGCAATATTTTTCTGCTTTGTGAAGGAGATTTCAATCTTGAGTTCAGTTCTGTTTCAACATTATTATCAGTTTGTCAGGAGTTGGGAACTAAGGTCTATTATTGTAGTTAGTTCCAGCCTTCCAGGGGAGTTATGAGGTAAATAAATAGGAGGAGGATGTAAGGGAAGAGCATTCGGTCTTCTATCATTTGAGAGTTGAGTTTTGCCCTTTCCAAAAGGAGAAATCCTTTGTGAAGGGGAAACCCTTGAAAGAGGGATCTCCTATTTTCTTTTGACTTAATTCAGTAAAATAATTCTCTTTCTTATATATATTACGGGTTCCTGCCTAATAAAAAATTGTAACCTGCATACCAAGTAGCTAACAAAAAGAACCATGAGAAATTCATGAACTAAATTAATACCTGTGTCTGCACATCATCTCCAGTAACAATATTTCCAACAGTACGAAGAGCAGGAATAAGTACTGAAGGGGATGGGTGCCTGAACAAGTAAAATAATATTTAGAATTTGACAGAAGAACACTGCAATGCATGCATTTTACTGTAAATTCATATTTTAGATTCAGAATACTCACATTAGAAGCTCAATAAGCCGGGTACAAACACCAGCGTCAATTACACCTTGAATTTTGTCATTTGTACCATCAGAAAGATATGAAAGTGCCCAACAGGAATCAGTCAATACTTCCTCATCATTTGAATGGATAAGACTGGCAAGAGCAGGAAGTGCAGGTTTAACCTGTAAAAAAGAATAATAAGAATCAATTAATACTGGGTCATAACAGAGCCAGCAAAACAAAACTGGGAAAACCAACTTGCATTTGCTTCACATATTGGCATACAATACGTTTACAATACTTGTATATTTGTTTTGGTCCCCTTAAAAAAATTTTAGATCCTGGCGCTAGGGCTTCATTGTTGAGGGATAATGTGGTTAACAGGAATGAGATAACAGGTCTCATGTTTCTTAAATAACAAATCAAAATAAATATCTTCCAATATAAGAGGTACCTATATCAAAAGATTACAATTTTATAGGGACAGAAACAATAGTATGTTTTATGCAATACTTGTTACTTGTACATTTACATACCTATATGAATATCCTACATGTACTGCATCCTATATATTTTAAGAATAATCATATCACCATAGGATATACATACATATCCAATACACATAATGTACATGCATCATATAATACCATTTATGTAGCCAACAATTAGCTCTTCCAAGCCTTTTAATCAGAGTAGTGTAATTTACAACAGTTAAGTGTGCCTATTACTCGTTCAATAATATAGCTTTTATGAGCAAATGATAAAATTTAATCGACTATAACTGCCACAGAGGAAATACAAGATAGCACACTACAGTTTACTAATATATCTATATAAAAGACAAGAAAAATGTTATTTCATAGAAAATGAAGAATAAAAAGCTAAAAGAAGCTGCTCATCAGATTAAAGTAAAAACTCTAAAAGAATTCAATATCGACAAGAACATAACATTTTACTCTGGTGCAGATACAAGATGTTATTCAACAAGAAAATTCCAATGAACAAAACAAGTAAGAAGGGTTCGATTTCATTTTTCCATGGAAGAGCATTCAGCAACAAATAGGAAGCTACCAAAACTTCTTTATTTCTGATAACACAATGCAGAACTTCATACCTGATCAAAATGAGGCTGAGGCTTTCCCCTGCAGAAATTTGATAGTGTCCAAGTAGCATTTCTCAGCATAGAAAGCTTGGCATGCTCATTCAATTGTGTCAACAGAGGAAGCAAGGCTCCATGACCGAGAACAAGATCACGGCATCTGGGTGAATCTCCAGCAACGTTTCCTAATGCCCACACAGCCTGATTGTCTCCAAAACACAGAAAATGTGTTAAACTTTAAATGAAATATAACTGCTGGGTACTGTCATCCTTCTCATTAATATTGTCGGCTAAAAGTTAACAAATAATAACACTTGGATGCACAGTCACTGAATTCACCCCACTTACATGCACATGCACATGCACAAACATACAAACATTATACCAGGAAATAGCGTACCATCCAACTCCAAAATAAACATAAAGAAACACATTTTCTGGTTAAACAACGTAGAAAAAAAGATTGTTCTCCACATTTTAAGAATGCGTATACTTTTTACCAATAGACAAAAAATATGAAAAGACACATGAAATATACCTGTTCACGGACATCTTCACTGGGAGAACCAAGGAGCTTTACAAAAATTGGGACAGCACCGTGATCAATTACCACCTTAGTGTTTTCAGATGTTCCAGAAGCTATATTTGTCAATGCCCAAGCTGCCTCAAACTACAACATACATTAAACACCGGCAAGGCAATATATAAGAAGAGGTAAATATTTATCACAAAGTAAAACAAGGCAGATAACAAACCTGCAGCTGAGGAAAATCTTCCCTCATCAAGAACTCAACAAAGCGTGGAACTACACCAGCTTGAATAACCTCCTCAATTGGTGGGCTACGTTCTGGCAAGACATAAACAGAGTTCATCAATGATCATTTGACATCCATAAACCAAAAGGTGAAAACAAAAAATGCCATAGACCATTATCTAACCAATTGAAAGCAACTTCCGAAACTGGGTTGTGGCCTCAAACTGCTTGCTACCGTCATCAGACCACACACTTGCAACCATGGCTGGCAGGAGTTCCAACTGCAGCAAGACAGAAAAACAACCACGTTTCATTAAGCTTCAACTTATTTCTGGTTCGTGCAAATCCAACATAAGTACATAACAACAATCAAATTTTAAGGCCTCATATAGGTAAGTACAGCACGACACATCAAGAGCAAGAGAAGATAAATTGTTCCACGTTTCTTAACCAACGCATTAGGCGTAACTCTTTCAATAAACAAACACGAACGCAACACAAACTCAATCAAAAACCAGAGTCCTACTTGGACAGTTAAATTCTTAACATAATCACTTATCCATGTTGGCGGAGTGAGATTTGAATAGAGGCAAAGTATTATATATAAACGAATAAACAGCAAGTGAACTCTATTCAAAAGATTATCATAATTGACCTTCTTCTCTATTACAGTAGAGTGAACTGATGCAGACATGGACTGAGATTGCAGACCCTCGCGTCTCTTCTTCTGCAAGCTCTCTTCCCTACGGTTCTTTCGGATCTCCACCATGGTGTCCTCTCGCCGACGGCGACCTTCATCGGCGTCCACGGCGACCTTGTACCGGTTCCGACGAACCTCGGTTCTGGCGCTTGCGGAAGGACGATACGACATCGTGCTGAATCGAAGGGGACGGTACGAGGCACCGCACGTTTAATCGGACTGGGAATGGGTAACCGAACCGTAGGGTTTTTGTAGATAGCGATTGAGTTGAGAGAGCGAAGGAATAAAATGGTGAAGAGGGTTTGGGGTTTTATTGTTGGGGAATTTGAAAAGAGGGTTTATGATTGGGGACACAAGTGGACCTGGATCGGCTTGCATTTACGAAAATGCCACTGGTTTTTGAATTTAAAGATGAGGGAAAAAGCTACTTTAATTGGAGGAAAGGTTTCGTACGGCTACCAACGTTTTCGTTTGCATTCCAACAATATTCTTCTGTGATGATTCTCTGCATTGGGCCGGGGCCGGGGCCTGGCCTCGATTAGTTGGCCTGTCGAAATCAACGTTTATTGGCTCATCATATATACACCTCCTTTTTTTTTTTAATTATAAAATATTATAATTTTTAAAATAAAAATTTAATTTTACACTTTTAACTTTCAATTTGTTACTTTCTTCTTCTTATTCACACACTTTTTTTTTTCTCTTTCAATTATTACATGCTACCAAAATAGGTGGGGTGAAGGAAAAATAAGGGGGTGCATGTAAAAATTAAAAAAAGGAGAAAAGATATGTAAAAAAAAGTACTAAATTAAATGTTGTGAATATAAAATTAAAAAATTTAAAATAAAAAATTAAGAATATTTTAAAATTTTAATTATTTTTTTAAAAGGAGGTGTACTTGAAAAAAAAAAAAAAAAGGAGGTGCATATATCATAAACCACGTTTATTTTATTATGGCCCAAAAAGTAAGCAATGTTATTGGCGCCTTCCTCAGGAAAGTAAGGTAAGCACGTTAGTTAGTACCCAATTTAATTGGATTTTTTTCTGGACAAATAAATTTGGATATTTTGCCCAAAGAAATATATTTATGGAAATAAATTATCATATTAAATAAAATAAAAAATATTTGTTTATAGAGTAAACTATCTTTTCTTCTTTTGTCTTTAATTGCATGCTCAAATATTTTATCCGCATATCCCTTTTAATATATTTTCTTTTATTTCTTTGTCAAAATTAAATTCCAATAACCCTTTTCTAAAATAATGTCATTTGTTAAAAGTAACCTTTTCTAACATTAAAATTTTTAATTGTGAATTCAAAATAAAATTTAGGATTAAATATATTTTTAGTTCATGTAAAATGAGTTAATTTTGGTTTTTGTAAATTTTTTTTCTTTATTTTTCTCCACTCTAAAATTCAAATTGAATTTTTAGTCTATAGTATTTTGTGATCCTTGTTAATTATTTCTATGTTTATTATATCATTAAGTGATCATTCATAATGACACACAACTATATTTTAAATTATGTTAATATGTGACATTTCTAAAAAAAAAAATATAAATCCCTCAAATAAATAATATTTATTTTGCTTAAAATGAACAATAGAGACCAAAATTAATAACTTTAGATTTTATAAAATTTAATTATATAAAATATACATTTATTATGATATGCTTTGTACAGGATAAATTACTAATCTATTAAAATATATTATACATGTAATCATGTATGTACAGTTAATTTTTCTCACCAAAAATAATGTATTGTTGACTTTTTTATAGCATTAAAGTCTAATGATTTTTCTAAAATATATCATTAATATATATATATATATATATATATATATATATTTTAGGCAAGAGTATTTATCTTTGTCTTTTAGAATGTTATGTATAAATCAATATTAAATGTGAGTGTTAGATAATGTTTACCTAATATAAGTCATGTTAAAGTGGAAAGGAATATTCAATTTGTATGTGCTATAATTTTTTATAAAAATTAGTTATTATTTATGATAGTAGATACTTCATATTAATATCATAGTTATAATAAAAAAATTTGAAACATTACATAATCATGTTAGCTAATGGACAAAAGAATTTATTGGTTGGAAAAACTTATTGAATATTGTCATATTAATAACAATGAATGTAAGTAATATATTTATCTTCTAATTTTGAGAATTGTTAATCGAAAACTAGCAGTTTTGTATTATGTAAAATTATTATTATTAGTTAGTATTACGTAAACTAACCACCTTAATTAAATTAAATTTTTAAAAATAAAATACAAGTGTATTTTCTTTAATCATTTATATTTATAGTTAATTTTAGTAAAAATCCGTTATGTTACCACATTTTACAATTCAATTACTCGTAGTGAAAACTATAAATATAACTACCTAAAACTAAATAATTCCTAGATAATACAAGTAATAATATATGTATAGGAATATCAAGTCAACTAGAACTAAAAATATTGTTCCTCAACAAAATTCTGTCACACACATACACATATATATATATATATATATATATATATATATATATACATATATATATATATATATATATAATAATCTAAAAACTGAAGTATGACATAGGCCGTCAATCAAGTAACATTAGAACATAAAAAAAAGTATGCAAGGTAAGTTAGCATTCAAAAGAAAACAACATATTAAGTATAAAAGTAAAAAATGCAACTATACTACCAACATTAACAAGTCAATTACATAACACAATCAATTCTCAACATACAACACTGTTGTAACTAAGCCTTTTATGAAATCAGTCATCGACTACCCTTCAAATAATATGTCCTTTCTAGTAGTTGATTTGGGATTATGTTCCTCAACTTTGTATCCTACTCGTTTCTGTCACTTTGTACACATATAACTTAACCTAACTCTCATACGAATCAACATCCATTTGTTTTATATATAATTAATATAGCTCGACATGACCCTTATACTACAGTCACTTATAGACAACATGACTCAACATTGTCCCCACAATGCATCAATTAACACTACAAGAAAAATGCTGAATTTTTACGGAAATTTTCGACAAAAATAGGTAAATTTTTTATGAATTTTTTTTTTCAACGGATTTCAATTCGTCGAAAAAAGTGGCGTCGGACAAAAAAATCCGTCGAAAATAATTTAATCCGTCAGAAAATTCTATCGAAAAATTCTGTCATAAATTTTTGATAAAATATCTGTTAGAAAATTCTGTCAGAAATTTTTGACGGAAAATTCTGTCATAAATTTCCAACGGAAAAATCCGTCAAAAATTTCCATCAGAAATTTTTTACGGAATTTTCTGTCAGAATTTTTTTTTAATATTAATAAATTTATTAATGTAACAACCTTCATATTTGGCCTCTCAAGGATTCTATTTTACGATATTTCACTGTTTAGTTTCTGGGAAATTTCTCAGAAGGTCACCCATCCTTATACTACTCCAGGTCAAGCACGAAATACAAATTCTAAAGTTACGGTTGAAATTGGGATTGCCAATATCCTTAACATTTTTTTTTTGCAAAATTGGATACTTGATCCCATTTGTTTTTCACCATCCATAAATGTCAAAAGTAACACTCATAGACAAAACTTTTTCTTTCAAGTAAAATTCTATTTTAAACTTTGTTTGTGTTTCAATTGTATCATTCACAAATGAATCATAATCATTAATAAAATTTATAGATTTATATTATTTAAGTTTGAATTGACATTTGCTTGTGAAGTTAAAAAATTCATTATTCTCTTAACTTTAGTTTAACACTTTTCAAACAATGAGTAACATAATTTTTTGATATTATTAATTTCAATTAAAGACGAACTACGATAAAGTTTAGAGAAAAAGTACTCTAACAATTTCAACTTGTATCTTGGATATAAAATAATAACAATATATATTATACTAATTAATATATATATATATATATAAATAAATTATCATTAAATAATTATATTATATTATATATATATATACACACATATATAATTACGGGACAAGGCGGATTGAGTATCATAGTACTCATATACGCATTCGTACCTACTAAATTTTGCAAGTTTATACTTGTCTCATACTCATTCTCATATAAGCAAATATTTTCCCGTCCCTCATGTGGCTGATTTTGCCTTAACTTGTAGGGTTTGGGTTCCTTTTGCCATCCTTAGTTGTCTCGCAAAATTTATCTGACAATGCTTTTGTCAACAAAAATATTATAATAAATATAATTGATATTGCATAATTTTCTCAATCTATCACTTTCAAATATATGATCGGTAATTTCAAGGATTAAAACAAAATTTTTAAAAATTACAGGATAAAAAATCGTTAAATTTAAAGGATAAAAAATAAATTTATTCAAAATTTGATAGATTAAAAGGATATTTAAGTCTATTTATTTTTAAAAAGAAAGTCTCAAGTATAAAAAGTTTTTAATCGGTGCTTCTGTAAGTTGAACTAGCCGCTTCTGCAGCATTCATAGAGGTAGAGGAGAGTGATGAGATGATCTAGTTAAGAGTTGTGAAGTGCATGATGATAATGTTGCGAGTTGTGAGAAATATGATGTGAAGTGTGTTGAGATGATCCAAAAGTTGTTAGTGGACTGTGTTATTAAGTTGTTAGATGAGAGTTGTATGTTGTTATAAAGTTGTATGTTGTTGTACTATGTGTTGAAAAGATGCTACTTTGTGATGATTGAGCTGTAAGTTGTGAGTTGAGCTGTTGAGTTGACTGTGTTGTTTAAAGTTGAAATGAGTTGATAGTTGAGATGAGGAGATGATAACTGTTTTGTTTTGCTATGACGATGAGTTGTTGATCACTAGAACTAGGAGAGATATTTTCGAAGTTGCTCATTCTATTATGCGGATTGAGATAGTTGTGGTGCTCTAAGAGCCCAATTTGTTGAAAAACCATCCTTGAGAAGTTGTCCCTTGGAGTGGATGATATGTTGTTCTCCTGTAGGACTAAGTTGGTTCCGTGTGTGGGCAAGGTCGAGGTACATGTGTATAAAGCGACCACGGTATAAGGGTCAGGTCAAGCTACACCGATTACAAGTAGTCAATTAGAGTAAAGTATGAAGTCGGGAACTTAGTTTCTAACCAAGTATCGAAGGGTTGTAGTATTTGGAGGATAGTCAGTAGGTTAATCTCATAAGTGACTTAATTGAGCTAGCTAATGTCATGGTATGCCTAAACCCAATTGTCATATCCTGACATAGTATTATACTTCCTTGTTTAAGTGGTAAAGTCTGAGAAACTATTATCATGTTGTGAATTTTTATCCAAATTTGTTGTTTA